AAGTGAAATACAGTAAAGGAAAAAATATATTTACAGCAGGCAGATTTCTGAAGACATGTGATAGAGAGACATTCAGAAGTAATAAATACAAACTACTAGGAAAAGTGTAACTGAGAGGTGAGATTATCATTAACTGTAAAAATTCACAACTGGATACTAATTAAAAGGAGAAAAGGATCATCATGGACTCTTCTTTGGGAGGATCCCCTTTGCATCTTTCTCTGGACCACCCACACTTCCTTTATTGCCCCGGCTAGCTTATTAGTCACAAGTCTGGTGTGGCTAGGTCTCTCCTCTAGAGTGAAGGAGATACAATGACAAGTGACAGCCTGAAAGATAAGTTTATTTGAGACAGATTAGTAGGACAGGTCCGTGCAATCAGTCACAAAATGCCTTAAAAGTTTAATTTTACAAAGCTGAGAGAACAAGAAGTCTCTCCATAATAATTGAAATAGATAAAAACAAAACAAAACAAAACAAACAAAAAGACAACCACTCTGACCAAAGGGAAACTGGGGAAGACTTTTTTTTTTCAGCTGTGAATCTAGCAGAAAAGATATTTGCTGAGAAATGAAGAGAAGTGTATATTCCAAATTCCTTTTTCTGGCAGTGGTTAGCAGAGGGCTTCTACAGTGGGAGTTTAAGGACCAGGCAAATGTTCTTTGGGTAACAGGTGTGAGTGGTTTATTTAAAATGAAAGGGCATTGCGGTGAGAGCGAGGCAATCTTAGAGATCTTCTCTGGACCCTGGATAAATCTATATACCAAACTCTACTCCATATGCTTTAGACTATGTTCTTTGATACTCTCCAGGAAGTTTTAATTGCATTGATGTGCACAGAGGCAAAAGGTAAAATGACACCCATGCTTTAAGTAAGAAAAATACTGAGACCCAAACCGAAACGTATGGTAGCATCCTTGCTTGAAAACAAAATAAGCTTGAGGTCAGCCTGGTCTACAGAGGGAGTACCAGGATAGGCTCTAAAGCTGCAGAGAAACTCTGTCTTATAAATAAGTAAATAAATAAAGAAAAGAAAACAAAAGATCAACTCTAAACATAGACTATGGTTCAAATTCTAATAGCATCACTAACTATGATGCAAAATGATTTCATTCATTCCTACCAACATTTCCTCATTTGTACAACAGACATAAGAATAGCTACTTAGGAGGGCAAAGTGCTTAGAAAAATATCTTCTCCTGCCTGAAAAGCCAAGGAATTAGGGGAAGAAGGTGGAGTAACAGAAATGAAACCAATAGAATTTTCAATGACAGAATGTCAGAGAATGTTGGCTGTTCACTCCACCACGGATTTCCTTACCAGATCCTATAGGTAGACCACACCTTCCAGCCTCCTTTAAGCCTGTCGCTTCCACCCACATGGATCTGAATTACCCAATGTACCTAGGCAAAAGTGATCTGCACCACCTGCCAGCCTGGGCAATTAACACCCTGAGGCTTTCTTGTAAAAATCCCATGGGAATAAAGCAGTCTTACCACAGAATGCATGAAAGGTGGTCTCTGACTCACACCTTTCAGAATTGCTGCCAAAATCTCCCATATTGGGACATGACACAAAATATAAATGTAGTTTACATGTGAGGAAATATGCTTTTCTGACTCATTTATTAGAAGTATCAGACTAGGCAATCTGATATTGTCAAGTTCTTTGCTTATGGCCTCATGTTTTATGTTTTACCCCTGTCACGAAACCTTAACATGAACATTGCTCCAGCATTAAAGCTAAAGCAACTCGGGCTCACAGGAGGATGTAATCACCTTTCCCACTCACATGAATTCAATGACTGTTAGAGGCAGATCTGGAAGCAGGTGAATCTATTTCAAGGTCAAAGACCTTTCCCACCTGCACTCAGAACTAGAGTGTGGACACTCTCGTTTTTTCCCTCATTCACTCCTGATCCCCAGTGGGTATGTTTCTTCTTTTCAAGTACATGTTTTCACCTTTATGTTTGCATCCAGAATTAGGACTCCTCCTCCCAGGCATGGCTCAACCCATTCACTTGACTCACAACAAGCAAACAGCTCAGTGGAGACAGAGTCCCAGAACTTTTGCAACTGCCTAGTAGGTCACCAATAGTGAATGAGAGACACAACTAAACAGGGAATGGTAACAGAAATTCCCAAGCTGGCAGTGATCCCTCAAAAGGAGTGATGTCATAGTAGTAGTACAAACAATTCCCCGGATACATAAAACATCACATTTGACTATCGCAGATTGCTGCTTTCTTGAACTGTGTATTTTTACCATACTACATTTTTACTGATTTCATACCCAAATTTTCTTCCCATAGGAAATAAAAGAAGCTGAGGGAGAAAAAAAAGATGAAGAAAGAGAAATAGAAAATGCTTCAGGTGCTAAATACCAGAACCTTGGAAAAACTTAAAATGCTGTTTTATGGGCACAAAACAATGGAAACAAAAGACCTTTCCACATCAATGGATAGACACCTGCCCCTGACTCTCCCATGAAATAGATTCATTCCGTTAAAATCCTCTAAAAGCAAGTTAACAGCAAAGTTTAATTTCTTCTGATAAAATGAGAGGTTACACCTAATGCATATTTACATCTGACTTGAATTCAACAAAGAAAATTAAAACGCACTGAAAGCATTATCAGATAAAGTTCGAGACATCAGAAAGTGGGATAAGTCAGGATTACACAGGGAGTGGTTTCAGACAACATGCTTAATTAGGCTATTTTGATTTAAAAAAAACAACCTATATTGCAGATAACAGTTATCCTGTGGAACTTTTAAAAGAATTTGCAGTCAAAAGACTTAGGGCTTAGAGGAGAAAGTGCAAAGACATACTTCTGAATAAGATGATGTGGATAAAACAAAGAGATGTTGTTTTTTAAGAAAGCCTCATTTGACAGGGCTGTTCTGTAATCACCCTTAATTGGGTACTTATGCAGTGACTGCAGAAGGAGGTTCTTTCTGCCTCCCAACTGACTTGAAAGTCCTCAAGCCAGAGCCAGAGAAACTACAAGTGGGTTCACAGGCTACAAGTAAGAGATCTGCCTTTGTTGCAATTTCCAGAGGCTGCTTTAACAACAAGTGACTTCCTGCATACAGTAGTAGCCTCTAATTCAAAAGATCTTTCTGAGCTTGCAAGCAACCTGGTGGGTTCCACGCTTATCATTATGATCTCTTACAGGAAGGCAGGCTGTTAGGGTCAGTGGAAACGGATGTTTTCTTTTGCTTTACCTGAAATGTGTAGGGGTGGGAGTGAGTAGAGTTTTATAAAGTAACAAAAGTAGTGTACTAGGATTTTGATCCTTAGCAATGTTTCCTACCGCCTACAACCGCTTTGGAGATAACTAAAGTGTTCTGAATGAAATCTCGGTGAAGGTCCAAGAACAAATTTATGGTGAAATCTGAGTTTGCTCTTCACCACCCAAGGGGGATAGGCCTGCTGACATGATGCTCTTTTTTCATACCCCTGGATATAACCAGAGAGCAAACCGGCTGGCTCTTCAGCCTGGCTTGAATGCTACTGTTCGCTCGCCCCCTAACACCCCCCCACAGGCTACACCAACCTCTTGTGCTCCTACTGTGCTAAGGAACATGAACCATAAATGTCAAAATGTAAAAACAGAAAAGTGCATTACAAATTATTCTAAGTAGGTGTCCAAACGAATCAGTTCCGTTGTGTTTGTTCCTTGAAACACTCAGCTCCCATCACTGTAAATTACTGAATATGCCCACGCAATTAAAACAAAAAAGCACCTTTATTCGGAAAAACAAGTCTAGCCCCCATGTTGATTCCTGTAGAAAACTAGAAAAAGTTCAGCGAGTGGGACTCACAGGACCTGCGGTACAAACAATCCTGTAATGTGCGCCTAAGATCTAGCTTGCCTTCTTCCGCGCATGCCACACACCCGAGATTATCAGTCACACTGATTAGCCTGGTCGCAACCTCCGCAAATCTTTGCCATCAGAACCTAGAGCCCGGGGCCCCACAACCTACACCTTATCTGTACAATGCACTAAGCAGCACCCTCCCAGGAGATGCACTGTGCTGCAAAATGCATTCATGCATCAGGTTCTGCTTGGTTCAAGAGGTCGGGGAACCCTATTCCTCCTATGTTCACCTTTCAGTTAAAGTAAAATATATGCACTAGAGAGAGGTAAAGAGCAGAAAGGAAGGAATGTTTTTGAGAGCAAAGGGATGGCATCTGCGGGGCGCCTGGTACCCATTTCGCTGCTGCTTGTGGGGAGGAGATGGAGCGGTTGTCTTTGCCTTGCCCAAAGAAACTGAACACACACACACCCTCCCCAGAAGTTATTGGAAATACATGCTGCCCCTACACGCTCCCAAGACGAACACTGTGGAAATCTTGTGCCTTCCACGACAACAGAGACCTGGTTAACCTTGTTCACTGCGGAGCAACCACTGTGCTTTGCCGGGAGTCTGGTACGCTGTGGGAGCCCCCCAAAAGGAGCCTTTCAAAAGGCTCTTTCCATCGTGAGTCCCAGTCTCCAGAGCCCTGATGTTCAAGTCCTTTCAAATTCCAGCCTAAGTTCACCTGCTTATACTGTGGGTTGCACCTGAGGCGTTATGGGAACCGCGACACGCACAGCAGAAAGAAGCCCCAAGCAAGAATGCGCCCCCGGAGCAAGGGAGCACAGAGAGGGCAATCGCGTGACCCAGCTTGAGGCACTTATTTTGAGGTTTCTGGATGCAATTTCTGCTATAAGCTCCTTGTTTGGTGGCCATCTCGAAGCGCAACAAACTTCTTTTCACACTAATAAATGAGACTAAGGGTTGCGGTGAGGTAACAGTGGCGTCCACGGGAGCACTGCCACTTGCCAGGTGGAGCACTCTCAGCTCCTCACGGTCCCTGGCCAGCTCTGCAGGAGAGACAACCCTGGGTACTCATCTGTCCTTCCCCAGCCCATAAGGACCATGCCGTTTTCTCCCAAGCCGTGAACCAAGCTGCCCGGAGGACAGTGCGCTCCCAAGTCGGGCTGGACTTACCCGAGGCACCCAGAGCAGCTCTTAGGAGAACCCGGCGCGCGATGCCACCAGCGTCCCAGAGTCCCAGTGGAGTGGCAAAAGCTCCCTACTTGCGACCAATCCCGGTTATGAACCCAGAGCTCTGTGGCTGCTGCGCGCCCCCCTCCCTCCTCGCGCTTCTGGCAGCTCTAAAAACCCGGCGCACCGGAGTTCAGGCAGCAGCTGGCTGGCTAGCAGCCTTCAGGAGAAGACTCGCGGGGAGTGAGAGAAGCTAGGGGAGGGCGGGAGCCGCGCTCTGCGGAGCTGGGCATGCTCAGTGCTCCACCAGCCGCAGCGCGCCCCCGAGCGTAGCTCCTGCACAGCCTGCTTTGGGGAGGAGACCCTGATTCCCCAAGCTGGACACTGGTAAAGGGAGCATTGCCAGACAGGACTGAATGTCTAGTTCCTGTAGAGGGACACAAAGGGTGTGTTTGTGCAGGGGTACATGGAGAGGATGGTATCTTCCTTTGCCACCTGAGTATCGGGGAACAAGGAAGAAAGACTTGCATCTGACTTCCTGCACATATGGAATCCGGGGGGGAGCTTTAAGGTGGCCTGGCCAGGGATACCAAAACTGACCTGAAAATTGCTGCGCATGGGTTTGGGGTGAGCAATAGTAGGTAACACTGAACTTGGGATGTGGAAGGATGTGGCTTGTTCTTAGGACATTGGCCAGACAGACTGTAAGGGACCTGTCCTTATGGGTGCAATGTACTTTCAAGCTGGAATTCGCATGAGGGTAGAGCGGAGGAAACATTTGCGATAAAATAGAGACAAGGATCAATTTGTGGTGTGTGGGAACATATTTAAAAGCCTCGTCATTCAAAATCTGGTACAGTAGATAATGCCAGTGCTGTGGTCATTCCACGGGACTCTGTTTTCTCGCAGAAATGGCTCCCTTCACCCCAACTCCAAATCCTGAAAAGGAAGTCTGAGCCCCCTTGGTCCCCTCCTAAAGGGAATCTGACAGGCAGAGAGGCAACCCGGTGAAGCTCAACCAGAATCCATTTCCTGCAACCTCAAAAGAGACCGAGTTTCTCTCCCTAAGGGAAAAAATAAAAGCCCGGGGAGATTTTACAGAGCTCAGCCTTCCTGTGCATGTCTCAGCAGTGCCAAGCTACATAAACAACTTCTGGCCATTTACACAATCATGCAAACCTCCCCTGACATCTCCATTATGTGGGAAAGATGTTAACTGAAAAACTGTTTTTAAACTACTATAGTAAGCAAACACTCAAGTCCTCCAAACACATGAGGCAGCCTCCTTAGTTGATACAAGTAATTTTCTTTTATATTTAGACTCCTGCTTTGGGTTATTACTGATGTTGATTTTTAACATAATCAGTTCTTGAAAAATGAGCAAATCTTAACTTGGGAATAGGTATTGCACGCATTTCACAATTGCTGAGGTTAATGCTGGAGAAAAGAGCCCCACTCCTCATTCTCTAAGTACATAAAATTAGAGATAGATTTAAGTGCCCCAACTCATGCCAAAGAAATTTTACAGAAAAGGGGTTTTGGTGACATGACTTTCCTGTTACATTGCCAAAGCTGACCGTTTTTTTTTTTTTTTTTTGGTTTTTACGAGACAGGGTTTCTCTGTATTGTTTTCGAGGCTGTCGGTCCGGCCTGGCCTTGAACTCAGAGAGATCCGCCTGCCTCTGCCTTCCGAGTGCTGGGATCAAAGGCGTGCGCCACCACCGCCCGGCTTTTTTTTTTTTTCAAAGCTGACTGTTTTGTAGTCACTTCAAATGCACCATGATCCATAATTCTGGTAACTTTTTCTGGATTGCTTTTTTAAAAAATAATATTGTCTCTTTTGTACTTTTAAAAACAACATTACCCGTATAAAACAATAGGTTTATTATTACATTTTCATATGTGTGTATCAAATAACTTGTCTTGTATTTATCCTCTAATTACACTCCCCCATGTTTGTTTCCTTTTTACACCCAAATAGTCTGTTTTCTATTTTTAAGCAATAGTCACAGGTACATACATATGAATCCATATATATATATATATAATTTTTGTATATGAATTTCAGTAAAAGTTTATTACATACATTGCCTATCCAAGGAGAAAACATGCCTATGTGTACACATACACTCAGCTCATCAAGAGGAAACATGGTATTTTTAATTCTATAGTCAATTAACAAAAAGAGGAGAGGGAGAGGGAGAGAGAGAGAGAGAGAGACTACCAAGTTGCTCTCTCAATGGAGCTAAAATTGAAGCAATTTTCAAACTTTTTTGAACCATATGAGCAAAGTCCCTTAGCTGTGTTTATGAATTTCAATTCTAAATATGTTATTTTCCCTCTTACCTTTAATTCTTTCTCAGAATTACTGTACATGAAACATTTAACTTTACATTGTTCAAGGAAACTCAGTATGATCATTGCTTAGAATATGCTCCAGAAATGACTGACTGACTGGTAAGGAAAACAGTGTATATCTGGAGAGACAGATCTGGGTCGGATTGCTGGGATGTCAGCTGTTATACTAGGGCAGCAGGTGTGGGGGGGGGGGGTTAAATCTGTCTTTCCATCAACCTGCATCTAGTTTAAAATAAAAGCAATAATCCAGTCCTGTTTTTCCATTCTGCAGGGAAGAAGCAAGACTGTACTGCTATCTCTGCCAAGAAAAGCAAGCTTCTCACTGTAGCTCTCATGACTGGGGAGTGTTCCTAAGAGAATCAGCCACTGCCAGAAGATGGAAGGGGCTTATTTTGAAGACAACATCCTCACACGTGTGTCCCTGTATATCCGGGACCCCAGCTAAGTGTCAGTTCCTTGCTCAGGGAACCTGTGATTGGGATTCTCTGGGGGGACATGTTCCAAAATGAATCAATTAACACCACCAACAGCATTCAATACCACTGCACTGAGACCCAGCTCTGTATCAGTGTATGAATGAATTACTGGTGCACGTGTCATTTGCAAATAATCATCATTATAACACAGTGGAAAACTCCCCTTGCCCGTTTAGTCTGAGCAGTGTCTCAGCAGAGAGTTGCAATAGCCCTCATGGAACCTCCAAAATATCTGCACTTGTATATGAAGTGTAAGCTCCAGATATTTTAACACAGGAGTATCTATTTGGACACAAGGTCACCTCTTACACTCATTAAACCAATCTGAATGAGGTCTGATAACTCTTAAGGGAAATCAGCACTAGAAATGCTTTCGACTTTTTGGAGATGCCTATGGAATATATCAGCAGGTTTCACTCAGCATGAGACAGCTCTGAGTACTCCAGAAAGGACACATCTCTGTCCCACCCCACCTGTGCAGTCTTTCTTCACACATCTAAGACGTGTGGTGGGTGTGAATTTAATGTAAGAGGAAGGGGAAAAAAGAAAACAGAGAACTTTACAAAACAAAGAATATATTTCTTCTGACCACATCTGATGTCAGTCAATTTTCTGCTAATTCTTCATACCAAGTAGGATTTTTTAAAAAAATCCATCAATGTCACTTTTTGTGTTCTATGTGACATGAGTTAAGTGATTCAGAGCTGAGGAGATAACTCAGAGGATAAGAACACTTGCAGCAAAAGCAAGAGGAACATAGTTCAAACCCCCCACACCTAGGAAAAAGTCCTATACACAGTCATGTGTGTGTAACCCTACCTGTTGTAGGCACTGGGGTGCATGTAGGCAGATATCAGAGGCTTGACAGTCAGCTCTCCTATCTAGCTTTAGGCTAAGTGAATTACTGTCAATCAAAATATAAGATTGAGAGCAGTAGGGAAAGACTTCTGAAGTCTCCCTCCGGCCTCTACATGTACACTCATAGACACATGCACCCATTCATGCACATGCTTACATGCTTATATCACACACCTCACACACCTCACATTGGAAAATAGGCTGATGGAAATGTGGGGGCAACTCAGATGAAAATAACTAGCTTTTATAATTAGTTTACTTTTCTAATACATTTGATGCCTTAATTGATCTTCATGGAAGAAGCAACACTTATAACACTTCTGATTTTGAAAAATAACCTTGCTTGTTTATTACAAGTGAATATGGGAGTGTTTTCATAAGGAAATTTGTCAAGAAGGCTTTATGTTCATTGTTTTTAAAATACAAGGAAAACTCAGAAATAGACATTAGAACAGCTTTCTGCAGCTCCCTCCTATTTGACTGTTGTAGGTAAGTAGAGTTTCAACCTAAGGACTTGGGAATAATAATGGACTCATGGTGGGATAATGGTAATTAGCATACAAAAGTTCAGTTAATCGCCATGAAGGTTATGACATAGACTGACAGACAGAGTCAAAGTAAACTACAAGCCTTCTACCCCCGGCCAAGATTCTTTAAGAAGGACTGTGGGACTCCAACTGAATTTAGGCATAAGGCACAATTGAAATCAGTCACCTGATTTTACTTTCTGTATATAAAATTCAAATGCAGTAGGTCTAACTGTCTATACTTAAATAAAGTATGCATAGTTGATTTTCATTGTTCTTGGTGATTATATTTCATAAATAATGAATTGTCCCCAGTAAAAACAATAGAGGCAGGTTTCAGAGACTCTCTGCTAACAGGATCTTCATTAACTGATCAACACATAGTCTTATTTTCTGGGAGCTTCTGGTAGATGCTTTGTTCAGTATTTGGTACTGTTTCCTGAACACTGAACTCAGGTAAGCAGTGCTGCAGCCTTGGCCTAACAAAGCTTGTTATCCCGAGCCTGTATTTTCTGTGTAAAGCATATGAGCCTTTTCAGGATCACCAGAAAACAGTATGGTAAGGTCATTTTGAACAGCAAAATTACCAATGAACATTCTAAAATAGCTAGCAGTGTTGCAAAACTGACTCTTCCAGGCACTATGGGTTAAAAGAAAGCAGGGCATCAACTTGCTTGACCTGGGCCAGGAGTCTCTGCCTTGGGATGTGTAAACTCTGCTCTCTGTGAATCATAAGCACCTCCTGTACCTACAATTACCATCCCAAGTGGCTTAAGTATTAACCTCTAGCTTACAGATAGCTTTGAACAAGTGAGAAAATTGGCAATTATGGAATCTGCAAATAATGAGGACTAACTATCGTTTTTTCCCTTAAAGGGAGAGACTCATCAGCTCACATGATTTGTGGTTCAACTAACATTCAACTCAATGTACAACCATTTAAAAATATTTTATTATCAGAAAAAATACGTTTTGTATTTTGTCTTTGGCCAGCTTTCTCAATTAAATTAGGTAATGCAATTACATAAGATATCCTTTTTTTGTCACATCCCACAATTGCTTTGTGTTGTTTTGAAAGTGAATATTTTTTGATATTGTCATTAACTACTATCCATTCTGTTGTATGCAAAGTAGATATTTTCAACAACTAATGCAAATTTAAAAAGAAAAGTGAATAAAATGAAGAGTGTGTTTGTGGGAGTTAAAAATACCCTCGGCCCCACAAGCAGAATTATCTAGATGAGTAACAAAGATGTTTTGTTCTATAATAAGACTCCAAAATTTAGTAGTGGTTTATATATTTGTTCTTTGAAAATATGGTTTACAATTCAAATTCTGGAATTTCAGCCCAACAGGTGCCTAAGCTCTCTCCCTACACAGCTCATGTTAAAAGACTCATGAGCTGGCCCCTCAATGTTCTCTGCCTTATGATAGTCATGTCCTTATTTAATTCCTTTGTTCTTAAAGGTTGGCTAGACTTATTGATTTACTATTATTGATTTCCAGAAATGATGGATGCCACTTCCTATATTAGGTTACACAGAGACTGTGGTTTTCATTACACTATGCAATTCCACTGTCCTGTGAAAATACTCCTGAAGCTTGTGGAAAGGCCACATGGCACACATGAAAATAAACAAAACCCCTACCACATGATCATATGGATGAGTGGTCTAAGATTGCCTAACCAAGTGTTACATCAGAGAACTCACCTAGTTATCCAGTTCCAGTAAAGTTTTGAGATGAGTAAAGCACTGGCCAGTAACATGGCTTCAACTTCATGAAAGCCTCAGTTGGAAACACCCCAGGGAGAACTGAAAAACTTACATAGTTCTAGATGCACAAATTAAGTAATTACAATTTGTTATTTTATGTCCACGGGTTTGGGGTAACTTGTTACATAGCAATGGATAACTGATTATGCCACAACACATATTGATTTGAGTAACCTGGAATGAACATAGATTTATGTATTTTACAAACAATAATTTTGATACAGATGGTTGACAGTCTTCAAATTAAGCCCTGATATAGAGAGATGAAAAAATTATGGAAAGATCAGAGGATATATCAAATCCTTTGTTCTCCAATTTTATCAGAAACAACTGACACTTTAATCACTTTTTATATCTGATGTATCTAAATTTCCCTATCACTAGTGTATGTCACATTTTAAAAACCGGCTTCCCATATGGTACAATATACTATAAATTACTCAATTATTCTCAATTAAATTTTTGAACATTTAAGCTGTTTACATTTTGTTATGGTAAACAAGTCTTTTATAAATATGCTAAATTATATCTTATACATGCCCTGAATTATTTCATTATTAGAAGTTCCTAGAATGGGAGTTCATCAGTCAAAACAATA